ATGGTGCATATAGTTAATCAGAGAGTATTGTACAGGTTTTGAGGTGATGGATATGTTAACTAGCTTTATTTAACTATTCCACATTGTATGAATAAATTATAATATCACTTTGTACCTCACAAATTTATACAATTATAAATTGTCAATTTACAATAAATAAAGGTTATAAAATGAAGGCAAAAAATTAAAAATAAAAACTACATGGGGTAGACTTTCCAAGTAAAATACCAATGGTAGAAAATATGCAGGAAAATAAACACTAATTGATTTTACTAATTTAAAAACCCTAAGATAGACTATGAGCTAAGTTAGCTAAGTTTGTTTGTTTTTTGTTTGTTGTTTTTTTTCTTTTCTTTTCTTTTCTTTTTTTTTTTTTTTTTTGAAACGGAGTCTTACTCTGTCATCAGGCTGGAGCACAGTGGTGTAATCTTGGCTCATTGCAAACTCCACCTCTCGTATTCAAACAATTCTTCTGCCTCAGCCTCCCAAGTGCCTGGGACTACAGGCATGCGCCATCACGCCTGGGTAATTTTTGTATTTTTAGTACAGATAGGGTTTCATCATATTGGCCAGGCTGGTCTTGAACTCCTGACCTCGTGATCTGCCCCCGCTCAGCCTCCCAAAGTGCTGGGATTACAGGCGTGAGCCACTGCACCCAGCTTGTTTGGTTTTTTTCAAGCAAGAAACCGGTTAGGAAAAAAAAATATTTTCAACCTACATTCCTGGAGCCCCTATCTACCCAGTCTATCCCTGGCTAAGTCCTGTCTTTGTAACATCTTCTCACTCATCACTGCCTGTGGGAAGCCTCCCAGGATAAGCCCAATAGTCTACATAGCCCTGTAATACTCTTGATTTCAGGTTTTCATCATTTATTTCATATCCATTTTCCTGCCTGAACTTCATATCCACCAAGGCAAGGATATTCACTGTCTCATTCACCACCAGGTGCTACCCCTGGGACTTGGGTAGCTCTCATGAATGAATTAATAACTAAAAGTAAAGGATTGCTACTGTATGAATGATCTTACAAGTCAACAATAAAGAGGGAAACGCTCCAATAGAAAAATGGGCAAAATTAGTATGTATATAAAAACAAATGTAAAATAAAATCATGACACCATTTTTCAGACATTTTCCCTCTCCTTTAAATTCAAAAACAAAATAAAATCTAAGGAAAACTAACACACACATCCCTTAGATGTGGGGAATGGCCACTCTCATAGGCTGCCACAACCTTTCAGTTGGGCACCTTGGCTCCATGTATTGGCTTCTTTAAAATGTGCCTGCCCTTTAGCTCAGCGATTTTGCTTTTAGGAATATGTCCTAAGAATATACACAAATATTTATCTGTGGAACAATCAGTGCATCATTGTGTATAACAGCAAAGAGAAATCCAAATAAGCAATAATAGAGGATTAGTTAAATTATGCACTCGAGTAAAATAGAATGATATGCAGCACTCTTAGTGAACATTTATTGATCCTTGTATGGGCCAGACACTGCACTAAGTACGTAGCATGCAGTGTCTGACTTAATCCTCAGAACACTTTATAAAGTAACTATTACTATTACAGCCATTTTCCATGGAGGGCAATTATGATTTAGAGAAATAAAGTAACTTGCTGAAGGTTACACAGCTAGGAAGTGGCTGAACAAGAAGCAGTTCCCAAGGCCAGGCCCTAGGTCACAAAGCTATCTACCCCCATGTTAAATATGTCCAGTGCACCTTTAGTGACATGGAAAGGCGTTCCTTATAGGTTCCTTACAGGTTCCTGTGTTCCTTATAGGTTCACTTAAAAGATAGAGTACAAGATCATATACAGTATACAATCACCTTTTAGTAAAATACATATTATACTAAAATGCATATCTGTGTCTGTATTTTTGCACAAGGACTAAAAGGAAAAATTCACCTCTAAAGGTTCTCTGGGAGGCAGGGTCATGGGATAATGGGGTTTTTCTTTTATTTTTGCTTACTCCAGTGTTTCTTGGTTTTCTAGAATGAGAATAGGTCACTTATATTATACTTTTTAAATGTTTTAAGTTGACCTCAAAGTAGCCTAGAACTTCAGAGGTCCTTACATATTACCCAATCTAACCTTCTTCCTAGCAAGAAGATACAAGCCTGGAGAAATCAAGCAAGGGCCTCACAGTGTCTTGCCTAATTAATACCCCAAGAGCCAGGATTGTGACGGGGCTGCCTATCCCTGGCCACAGGGTCTTAGCATCACCTTCACCCCAGGAAGGCACCTGACCGTGCTCACCTGCAGTGAAGAGAAACACAACTCGGACACTCACTCATTCTTCTGAGCATTCAGCCATCTACCTTCACTCGCTATAACTAGCGTCTTGAGTGACACCCTGCTGCCCTACAAAACAACGGTGCCCTGGGAGATGAAACGCCTGAAGAGCATGACACTGCAGCCTCCAACCAGCTCCGGATCATTCTTCCTAGACCAATGGCTCTGAACAGAGATATCTGGCAGCATCCCCTAGCAACATTTTCTGAAGATGAGGCCCGCATGGAGATTCTGACTCAGTGGGTATAGAGAGGGGCCTACGTCAGAATGTACTGAAAAACATTTCCATGCAATACTAATGTACATCCCCAATTAAGGAACCCTGGTCTATATAAATCTTCAAGTGTCAGTGTCTTAACTGGGAACTAGACACAGTTGTTTTCATCCTAATTTAAAACTCTGTCTGCTGTTAGGAAGAACAGATGCATCCCTTTCTGCCAGAAGCCTTGACGTGGATCAGGCTTTCTTTTTAGTTGTTTCTTATCCTCGGGAGAAGAACGTTGTGAAGGGCAAAGGGGGTGTTGGCTCACTCCCGCCACATTGCTCCAACACATCTGGCCGAACCCCGAGTCAGGCAATTGAGAACCCAAAGCTGGTCAGCAGTGTGTGGGCACAGGGCAGATGTGACAGCAGCTTGAGAGCCAGAACTGGGGACCAAGGCATGGTCCACGAGGGAGGCCGGGCCGGCTGTGGGTGCTCCAAGCATCCGCAAGGTTACAGCACACAGCAGAGCTCCAGAAGGAGCTTAGAACGCCATTTTGCTCTTAGCGTTCATAACCAGCAGCAGTGGAAGCAGTTCAGAAGCAAACCTTCTCCAGAAACAAGATGAGGCTGGTCTTCTCTGCTTCCTCTTTAAAAAATTAAACTTAGAGGAAGCCCTGAAGGGTCAAAAGGAATACAAAAGCAAAGGCTATTTTCTTTTTTTTCTTCTTCTTCTTTCATTCATTCCTTCCTGTTTCTTTCTTTCTTCCTCTCATTTTTGTTTTTCTTTTTTAAGAGCGAGCGGCTCTGCGGTGGCGGTTTGGGGTAGGCGCCGCCGAGGTGAGGGCGTCTCGCCTCCCGCGCGCCGGTAGATTGGTTGTTTCATTTTGGATGGAGGGGATGATGGTAACCTTGTTATCAAAAAGAGGTTTGTGTCTGAGGCAGAACTAGATGAACGGCGCAAAAGGAGGCAAGAAGAATGGGAGAAAGTTCGAAAACCTGAAGATCCAGAAGAATGTCCAGAGGAGGTTTATGACCCTCGCTCTCTGTATGAAAGACTACAGGAACAGAAGGACAGGAAGCAGCAGGAGTATGAGGAACAGTTCAAATTCAAAAACATGGTAAGAGGCTTAGATGAAGATGAGACCAACTTCCTTGATGAGGTTTCTCGACAGCAGGAACTAATAGAAAAGCAACGAAGAGAAGAAGAACTGAAAGAACTGAAGGAATACAGAAATAACCTCAAGAAGGTTGGAATTTCTCAAGAGAACAAGAAGGAAGTGGAAAAGAAACTGACTGTGAAGCCCATAGAAACCAAGAACAAGTTCTCCCAGGCAAAGCTGTTGGCAGGAGCTGTGAAGCATAAGAGCTCAGAGAGTGGCCACAGTGTGAAAAGACTGAAACCAGACCCTGAGCCAGATGACAAGAATCAAGAGCCCTCATCCTGCAAGTCTCTCGGAAACACTTCCCTGAGTGGCCCCTCCATCCACTGCCCCTCTGCTGCAGTCTGTATCGGCATCCTCCCGGGCCTGGGCGCCTACTCTGGGAGCAGCGACTCCGAGTCCAGCTCAGACAGCGAAGGCACCATCAATGCCACCGGAAAGATTGTCTCCTCCATCTTCCGAACCAACACTTTCCTCGAGGCCCCCTAGTTTCTCTGTCCTTACACAGGGAGCTCCTCCCCAAGGGTAGATTGGACCGTTCATGCTGCCTTCGGGCATTACGTCTCAAAAAAAAAAACTCCTTTGCCTGCATCCTGTGCACAACATGACACTTTTAACCAATCCAATCTAAAAATGTGCCAGAATCCACCTGTGGCCCGAATTGTGTTTGGTTTCTCTTTCTACTGCAGTGCACATGAGCAAACCTATCCCGCTGCCACTTTCCTCACTGATATTGGGAGGAGGGCAAGGCCCAGCTGAAGTTCCACTAAAAATGCCCTAGGAGAATAGGCACCGGCTGGCTTGCCAAAGGGTTTGGGTTTTATTGCTTTCTGTTTTTTTCTTTTCCTGACAGCACAAAGAAGTAAGGGCAGTTATAAGTAAGAAGTAAGGTGTTATTTAAACATTCTATTGTAGGTGAACGTGTTGTTTGGTTCTACTGCATTGTGGAGCATGCGGGGGAAGAGAACTGACCCAGGTGATGAAATGGAGCCCTTCCCTGGAACTAACCAGTCCTTGATGTTGTGTGACTAAGTAAAGATGATAAACCCCATCTGCTGGGGGTGTCACTTCACACTCGGCATGCATTGTGAAAGCTTTCCATACCCTTGGCCATTCTCTCTCCCCTCTTTATCCAACCCGGTTTATGCAGGAAGGGACTGCTAACAAGAAAGCTTCCATCTCAGACCTTTTCTCTGCCTGGGAAATTATTTTATGTTTGTTTTTGAAATAAAGGATTTAGTTTAAGATTCTAAAAAAAAAAAAAAAAAAAAAATTAAACTTGAAGGGGGCAAGAGCTGTGACATCCTCAAGGCTTTTGCTTTCTACCTGCCTCTTCCCGTTATGAAGGATTGATGATTCAGGAATACTTCCACATTCTGTTAACATGGAGGAGAGAGAAGGGACTCTGGTTCCACCAGCCATTACTGCTAAAACAGGGCTCAAGGGGTCGCCGACACCAGCATTCTTCTCACTGAGGAAGCAAGGTTGAAAGAAAACAGAAAGATGGCCCCATTGGAAAAAGAACAGAAAATGTTTACAATGAAGTGGGATGTAAAGGTAGAAAGTAGAAGGAAAGAAACACAAGAAAATTAAAATGCGCTTGTAAAACTGTGAACTACATTATGCTATATTACCAGTAACTTTAGTGACTGCTCACTTAGGAACGCTTTTCTTTTGCAAGAAAAACAGAGCCAGCTCTTTCTTAGTTGAATAATAACAGACAGAATGTTTAAGCCTGCATTGTGTTTCTTGGTTTTTAACATTGTTTATATTTGTTATTTGTATATGTTAATACATAAGTAGATTTTAAATAAATCCTACCTGGGAACCATTTTTAGAAATTTGGGGTTTTTGGTTTTTTTTTTTTTTTTTTTTTTTGACAGTTCTATATTTAGCTAGACTGTTGAACTCGGTAAAATGTAGGGCTACGTTATGATTGTAAAGAACATTACAGCTAAAAACTCAAAATAATAAGTGTTTTGTTTAAAATCATAGCCAATTCTTCTGACATACAAAGTGACAGTCATTCCTCAGCTAAAAGAACGTGCTGGCCTTGCTTATGAATATATAGAATTTGGATGATATTTTTATATGCTTAGTAACTTCACAGTACCTGGGACAGCTAGAGCTAGGGCTACCTTAACCTCTAGTGGAGCACAAAGAATGCAACCTCAAGCCAGGGGCAGGTTTCAACTCCCCTTGCATATCCAGACTGAATATTCCCTGGTCTACACAACTTCCACAAAATAGCTTGAGCCACTCCCTTGGGCAGAGACCTAAGCTCTCCTCCTCTTCTCCTTCTGATAAAATCTCCATCGACATCCAAGGAAGTTCAAACCCATCTCAGCCTTTCTCTGACTCAAGGCTTCTGTTTCCCAGCTAGAAAGCATTTGCCTCAGGGATTATATTAAGACAGCAAATGTTGTGGGAAGAACACCAGCCATTAAGGCAGAAGGCAAAGGTTCAAGTCACAATGAAGTCACTTCCTTCCACATATGACACAAAGCCTCTCTGAGCCATGATCTGTCCCTCGTAGGCAGGGAGAACCCACTCTGTGTTGGGTACAAAGCCAATCGATGCCAAAGCACTCGCCACACTGCACGGTGCCTCCAAATACAAGTGAGGAGTGGAGAAACGAAGACGGACATCAACTCTGTGCTATGCCAGCATCCCCTCCGGTCTACAGCCTTGTCCCCCAGGCAGTGAACCTCTCTCCCTGTGCAAGCAGGCTCAGTCACACGAACAGCAGGCCCTGAGATCCTCCACAGGAAACGCTAAGCAGGCTAGTTTCCTGGCTGCCCACCTGGAGGCCCTGCGAGCTAGCCTTGTTCTGCCAATGACTATGTGCTGATCCTCAGACAGCATCCACTGAGGTTTTCTCTGTCTAACATCTGCCAGTTAGTGGTGCTCCTGTTTTATGGATTTTCATTCATTGTAATCTTTGCTTGCTGCAGCAGGGGCTGGGTTAGCCCAAAGAGAGGGCTCTGCAACAACAGTGTTAAACAAATAGCACCAGGCCTGGTATTTTTAGATATGTTAAAATTCTCTCTAAGCGCAGTGTGAGGGCCTGAAAAACTCAGGCTGTTTCCTATGGCTGGGCGAATACTGATAAGAGCTTTATCCAATTTATAAGGCAAGAGAAGGAAATAATCATGTGTGATGGAATTGAACAAATAATCCCGTTCCAAACAATTATGAAATATAACGTAATTACAGAAGACTGTGCCAGGGTCTGGAAGTACCAGATTTCTCTCTCTCAAGAATCAACAATAATCTAAAATTTTGATTCTTCCAGGCCTCATGAGTCACCAAAAACCGTAGGCAACTAAAAATCAAGACAAAATCAATATACACACACGTGTGTATGGCACAAACATCCTTTCTTTTACATTTTTGGGGACTGATTTCACAGTGCTCCACAGACACACCCCTGCATACCCCACCAAGTAGAAGAAAGCACTTCAATTAATGCCAACACCCCCCTCCAAATCCAACTCTGCATACCAAGGAGAAACTCATATTCTAGTTACGATTTCTTAGAGAGATGGGGAAGAAGTTTCATTATCGAAACCACACTGCAGAAATGGATGAAATCCCTCAACAGGATTTCCAGTACTCCACCCAGGAGTCTCCTCTCCGGCCACCAGCTCCGCCTTCCCCCACTCTCCATCCACTGCTATTCAGAGCAGGCTGATGCCCCTCAACTTCTGAGTTTTGTAACTGAAATCAAGACTTCTTCCTACCTGTAATGTCTGTTTACAAGATGAGACCCTGACTGCAGAGATCAAAGGTGAGGTGAGGTGGATGTTTGAGGCGGAATTCTTCGTGCTGCTGGGCTGTAGTCTGGCCTGCGGTTTGGGAAAACAAGGGAAGGATTAGAGGAGGCTGAGGATTATAGAAAGGAAAGGAAGGAAGGGGTTCAGAGAAGGTCTGCTCCTTTTAAGGCATAGACCTACCTCCTCACCTAACCCTGGATCCTCACTGACATCTTAAGAAAGCCACTAAGCCACATGGAAAGAGACTAGAAGTTATGGGTATGAGCTGCTGTTCAGTTTGGTCTTCATCCATTTGGCATCTCCCCATTTTCCAGCAATAACTCAGGAAGACTCAGGTACGTACCTACCATCTTCTCAGGTGTCTCCTCCAAATTGAGCTGCTCTTCCCTCCCCCTGGCGTCTACTGTCTCTAGTGTCAGGTTACTTTCCAGGCCCCCGGAGGAGAGAGCAAGACATTGGGGGGAACTGACCAGTGGCTCCAAATCTGAGGTGCTTACTCCTTGCTGAGACAGTTCTTTATTCTCGCCCTGAGCTTCTTCCCCACAAGCCCCACCCTCCAGGTGGGCACACCACGAACTCTGTGCAGCGCTCTCACTTCACCCACAACAGAACAAAAGTTCTGACCAGACAGCTGTGCTCACCACCACCTCCTCCACAGCAGGTTCCCGCCACGCAGCCTCCACAGGGCTGGTCACATAAACTACCCTTCACACTGCTGCCAGGGCAACAAACCTTAGAAAAACAGAGGTTTTCTAAGATTAAAACCTCTCCATGCTCACTCTCTCTCTCCCTCCCTTTCTCTCTCTCTCTCTCTCTCTCACACACACACACACACACACACACACACACACACACACACACCTGCATTTCTGCTTAAATGCCTTTAGTTCAAAAATTCCTTTTGCTTTTAGAGGAAAGCTCAAACTTTAAGTGGCTTGCAAAGCCCTTCATGATTTGGCCTCTCCCTTTAACACCCTCTCCGCACTCCAGCACCTTAGAGCTTTCTTAGGTTCCTTGAGCAGCTAAACTCTATCTTGCCTCAGATCCTTGCATATGCTGTCTTCCTCCTCCTCCTCTTCCTCCTCCTCCTCCTCCTTCACGCTGCAAAGAACTAGTTCTTACCATCCTTCAGTCATCACTTCAACACCGTCTCCCCAGAAAGGTCTTCTCTGACAAGCCCATCTGAATCAAGTTTCCCAAACACAAACCTACATGCAATACTGATTCTGTGGCACAGCAACCTGTGGCTCCTAGCTTCATGGCTCTTACTGAAATTTGCACTCACTCACTTGTTTGTCCACTGTTTTATTACCCAATTAAGAAGCTTACTATTATTTCCAAGATGGCAGAGGGGATGATTCAGTCACCTGGCGTCAGCACCATGCATATGGTAGGTTCTCCAAATCATGACATTATCATATCATCATAACTTGTATTCCTCTTGGATCTTGCAGATAGACCAAATAGGAAATTATGCTGTATTTAGAGAACAGTGAAAAAAAAAAAAAGACGACAGCCTGAGTCAGGAGATTTGTAGTGCAAAGTCCTGTCCTGGAAATAAATGTGCATAGATGTGGTAGACAGGCTTACAGGGTAGCTCTTAAAAGCCCAGATGATAAGTCTGGGCTTGATCTGGCTCAATGCCTGAGAGGAACAATGATATAAACTAGAGGGTATCGAGAGACTAATACTGAGTCAAGGCAGGCCACATGGAGGAGTGAAGCGCTCCAAGCCTGAACTGGAGAAGAATAAGGTAACACAGGGTAATGTCTTCTCTATCATAGGAGGAACCACCAGATCTAAAAGGCAGATGTTTGTTCCTGTGGGCAAAACTGGGTTCAATTGGTACAAGCTTTGCCCCAGTACAAGAATAAACATGTCCAATAATGAAACTGATTACCGCATGAGGTAGTGAAGTGCTGGTGGCTAGAGGTGATGGGCAGGGGACAGAACAAGGTGGCTGGGGAGATCATTTCTATATCCAGCAGGAGACTGGATTTTGATGATCCTTTTCCATTGCAACACTCAAAGCTCAATGGAAAGTCATCACAAGTTTTGAGCCAAGAGTAATGTGATTTTTTAAAAATGATGTGTTGTATCAGAAAGATCTGTGAAAGGTTTTGTAAACTAAGAAGTTTTCAGTACCAAATGAAAGAATTAGAGGCACCCTGAGATATCAGAAGACCAGGATGGAGAATTATTACTCCAAATGAAATTTGATTTGACCAAAACAGTGTAAGAAAATAGTGTCTACAAGATTTGTAACAGCTATCAAAGTCTCCAAGATAAAAACTTTCCTTCGGACTAACATCTTTAATGATAAGTAGATGAAGGTTTCTAGCTACCTCAGATATTTTAGAACATATTTCAATAAGGATGACCCTCACCTAAACATTGTGTGTGGATACTCAATTACAGCCCTGTTCAAGATCAAAAACTTAAGGGATGTCTGATGTTTACATAGATTCCAACTAGCAGTTGAAGAGATTCCTGTGCTATAAGTAATTAAAATAAGGTTCTCTTATGCCATATTTAAGTTCCTAAAGGAGACTTAAGTAACCTCTGCTATATGTAGTGTGGTTGGTTTAAAAACAAAAACACCTTATTTAAAAATGTCTAAGATGCCAGCTTCCTTTTTGACTCACCATCACCTGAGAGTTTTTTACCTGTTAAATCATGGAGGAAAAGACAAAGTTTCACAAAGTCTGTAATAGTCCGCTTTTTTTGTTGTTGTTGTTTTGTTTTGTTTTTTGGGACAGAGTTTCGCTCTTGTTGCCCAGGCTGGAGTGCAATGGCATGATCTCGACTCACCACAACCTCCATCTCCCAGGTTCAAGTGATCCTCCTGCCTCAGCCTCCCAAGTAGCTGGGATTACAGGCATGCATCACCATGCCCAGCTAATTTTGTAGTTTTAGTAGACACAAGGTTTATCCATGGTCAGACTGGTCTCAAACTCCCAACCTCAGGTGATCCACCCGCCTCAGCCTCCCAGAGTGCTGGGATTACAGGCATGAGCCACCACACCCGGTTAATTTTGTATTTTTAGTAGACGGGGTTTCTCCATGTTGGTCAAGCTGGTCTTGAACTCCCGACCTCAGGTGATCTGCCCACCTTGGCCTCCCAAAGTACAAAGTGCTGGGATTACCGGCGTGAGCCGCTGCACCCTGCCAGGAATAGCCAGTTCATAAAGTGCCCAGCCCTGGGCAGTGATCACTGCATCTGCTCCATACTCTCCCTTTCTTTTTCCTTTCCTTTTCTTCACCTATGTGACTGGAAAAAAGGGGTCTCTGGGGTAAAGATGTCACCTGTGAAACTCTGGGTGGTGATTCAAACATTTGCAAACATTCTGTTTTTGCTCAAGGGCGGTGGTGGTGATAGTTTCAGCTTGCCCTACATACACATGCACACGCCCATGTCAGCTGGTGCCTTCTCCATACACACAGGGTGGAACTTGCACCTGTTGCCAGCTGACTTAATTCTCTTTTATCATTTAAAGAAAAAACAACAAACATGTTTTCTACCATTTTCAGTTGAAGAGAATGTTTTGCCTTCTATAGGAGAAAGGGGTTGTGAGGGAGGGGAAAATGTTTAAGAGCAAATCTTCTACACAGCTTCCTTCCTTCTGGCCATGACCAGGTCAGTCAAGCCAACAGTAAATGGTAAATTCACATTTATGATGCGAACCAAGGCCATCACTAATAAAACTGTAACCTCACTGGTGGAATACTGAAATATGTCTTGACATCTTTGCAAGAGTTGTAAAGAGAGTCTGGAAAAGAAAAGGAAAGCCCAAGTGTTCTTTTTGCATTTTCTTTTTGCATTTCATTCAGCAAAGACTTTTTGAAAACTTAGTAGAGGGTGATACCTGATTTATTTAGTCTGCAGTGTGGCCAGCCTTTAAAGTACATGAAGTAATCCCATCCGAACAATACCACAAGTACCTCAGGTATCTCAGGTAACCAGTTTGGAAACAGCTAGAGGGCTTTGTGTTAAATATCAGAAAATATTCATAAGACACCATAACAACAGAAACAGAGTGGAACTAAAACTTTGTGGCAAAGCCAGTATGTAAATCACAGCTGGTGATTTCTGTTAGGAACTTTGGTTTGGGAGGTTTCGCAGCTTCATCTCCAAAGTCCCGATTCAAAACCACAGTGTTCAGCAAGTCAGTGAGATTTCATGCTTTCATCTGAAACCCACACCGACAAATGCATCTCTTGATGCAATTCAGGATCTCAGAATCTTCACTAAAGAACCGAGCTAACCCATGGAACGCAATCTCAAAGCCTTGCTCTTACCCAGAGAAGCACGGTTGCCACTTAAAGATTCAATAAAAGGAGAGGTAGGGAAATGCCTGCTGCAACAGCCCATTAGTTGCTACATTTAAACCCCTACCACAGTAACCAAATGTGATTGAGGTTTCAGAAGGAAACCTACATGGTATGAAATGTAGCAATTATTGGTCTATAAATATAGGATGTTATTCACTGTCAAGTACTTTCTCTAAAGGAGGGGTGGGGGAATTCTTACTGCAAAGGTAGGTTACAAAATTTTTTCACCTAGAAATAATTTAGAAACTGGCTGGGGCACAATCTCATAATGTCTCAGGTGCAAAAAGTTTCTGATGCACCGGAAACAAAAGCTGGCAAAACAAAAGCGACGTCAGTGTCTCCCTGTCCTACCAATTCAAGGGTGATGTAAAGGGAGAATTTTTTTTAAATCCCAGGATTAGTGAGGGACGCTAACCCCTGAACCAGAATTACTGAGGGGCATAGAAAGAAAATGTAAGGGAGGAAAAAGTAACATTTTACAAAAGATTTCCGTTGTAACGACCTTCAGACCCTGGGGCTGCAGAAAGGAGTAGGCGGCTGCTGTGCCCCGGCCCCTGCGCGTCCACGCGTGGGAGGCGAGGCCAAGGCTGCCAGGAGGCGCTCCCGCACCCCAGGTGCGCTCCTCCAAGGAGGCCATGTCCCCACCCGCCTCCGCTGGCCCAGTTTTTCGCTGTTTTCTCGGCGCACCACGTCGCCTGCAGTTAGTAGGCAATCCATCCCCCCGCGCGGCAGCGAGTTAAGTTTCAGGCCTTTTGTAATGGCCTCAGGTGTGAGCTGCCGCAAGCCGCCCCCCGGAGAATCACTGGCCCGGCTGAGAGGACTAGGAGCCAGGTGTGCGAGGCCGCGGCATCCCCGCCGTTCCCGCGCGCCCATCCAGCGCCCCCTGGGTTAATAGGCCCCGCTCCCCCACACCACCAGGATTGTAGCGAGGCCGGAATCAGGGCCCTACCTCGGAGCTCCCCCTTTAAGAGAAGGCGTCCAGAGGGCGGAGCCAGCTTAAAAGCGGGTCGAGACAGTCACCTGTGGTTAGGCAAAGACACGAGAGAAATGGTTAATTCCTCAGGTGCCCCAAATCACAACAGAGCTCGGGAAGGAGGAACAACTTGACAGAGAAAAGGGGACAGGACGTTGATCAGGGAGGACGTCTGCAGAGCCTGGGGTTGGGGGATTGGGTTCCAAC